GGGTGGGGAGATCAGCAAATACTTTGTCAGATATGTTAGCTAAGCAAGGGGTAAATAGGGAAGAATTATTTTGGGCTCAGTTGTGATTCTTGTTTTTCTTTCCTAGTTTACTTGTAAGATTCAAGGAGGGGCTGCAGCTCGAGCCTCTCGCCGGGATGATGTATGAACTCACTCTAAATTTGCTTCTGAATCAATAAATTTGTTATTATTCATCAAAAAAAAAATGATGTGTTTGTTTGTTTTTTTCCTAATCCTGACTTGGGGTACTCGTTTTATCATGCCTGAAAGAATACTTTATTTTTTCCTGAGTCTGAAATGTGGTTTACTGCGTTTTTTGGTTAATCAAGCATCAGATTGCTTACTTAACTATCTTTTTCAGTCTGTTGCCTAGAATGTTAACGTAGACCACCATCCAGGTGGTGGCCATTGGTTTGCTTCTGGTCTTTCCCCTCAGGTGAATTTGCTTTTCCTCTGTGGTCTTCAATATTATCTTTGAGATTGAGCATGTATTCAAAATAATTTCTGTTGCCATTTTCTTATATCAGGATTTTCCTTCCCATGTCTTCAATATTATCTTTGTTTCAGCTTAATCATTATATTATCCTTTTGTGCAATAATTTTAGATTGAACAGAGGTCCTCTACAGAGCAGCCAACATTTTCAGGTGACCTCATACTCTCATGCCAGTAGTTATGGCAGCTTAGGAAGCCATAATGACAATGCTGGGTTTGGAAGCTGCTATGGGAGCTATATGGTGATAATCGTAGTATGTATGCATATTATTCACCTGTTGGTCCATCTGGTATGAGCATCCATGCACAAGGTGGAGTACCAATCCTTGGAGCTAGTCCTGATACTAGGCGAAGAACTTTTCAAATCTCTCATGGGAATGGTCTTGGTGTCAGTTCATCTGCAGTAAATTTTGTGCCAGTGTCCCTTGGTGCTAGTCCTTCACAGTTCACTCCTCCAAGCTCTCTTCAACCTAAACACCACTTTTTATTACAACACTACTAACTCTGACACCCGCAAAAACTTCGATAACCACTACCCACCAACTGAAAATACACTAAATTATACAGACACTTCAGAGGCAAAAGTCAGAGCCTCATTAAGCCTCTTCGACACTTTTTTAACTTTCTTCATTTTTTTATTAGGCACTATTCCAGACACACCTCCTTTCAACCTGGCAAACACTTTTGAAACAGGAATAGCTTGTTTTTGTTTATGCCTTTTAAAACGTTTCACTGCATTAAGATTCTTCTTACGATCTTGCACTTCTTTAGAGCTTTCGTTAATCCTTTCCAACTCCAACACCACATTCTTTTGCAATTCTTAAACTCAACTCCCCTCCTCTCTCAAAACACTCCAACATTTTAAGCAACCCTCAATCCATCTTAGACTCCTTTTCCCTTGCATTGAGATCACCCTCATTGTGTACCAATTTCTCTATCTCCCTATACCTATCCTCCGACTCTTTAAATGTACCCCTTGCAAGTTCTTCACCCTGTAGAAAAAAAAACCCGAACATCTTGCTCATTTCTACCTCCCTATTCACTACTGTCTCCAAGTCAACTGTACTTTGAATTGTATTTGTTTCTTCCATCTCTATCTCCTCATCCAGATCCTGTTATTCCTTTGTCCCCTCTTCCTGATCACCAAAATCCTCCAACTGTCTTGTTCTATACTGCCTTTTCCTTTTATAAATATGTTGCTTCTGTCCTCGAATTTTGCTTCCTCCTTTCTCCTTTCACTCCCGTCTCCTGCAACACTACCTTCTCCCTCCCTCTCCCTTTCATCTTGTTCTCTATTCTGCCCTTCCCTTTCTTCTACCCTAATTGACTTTCTATCAGCATTTATTTTTTTGATTGGAAACAGTAAATCCATTCATTAAATTATAAAGGTAAGCAGTTACAAGCATCTCAACAAGGAAGTGCTAGAGTCCACAATTAAGGTGCTGTCCAAAACAACTCAGCCCTGGTTGACCCTTGTTTACCTAGGCTGTCAGCCAGGCCCTTAGCAGATATTCTAACTCAATTAAAATCGACTTTCTACCAGCACTTGCTACCTCTCCTTCCTCCAAATTCCCGTTAACCACTGACACCTCTTGGACCTCCTCTTCTACCTCCCAGTTTTCACTTCCTCTCCTGCACCTTTGTAACCAACCAACTTCTCATCCACCTTTCTGATATCTTCCTTCTCCTCTTGTTCCCCCTTTCTCTCACAAAATCAAGACTGCTTAACTGTCTGTGATTGCTGACATCTGTTATGTTTATGTTTACATCATCACTTCTTCTCACTGTAACCCTTGAACACAACAATTGCCCCGTTCTTGTGCATCAGCAGCTGAAATAGACTTCTTGGCCAGACTACCAATCTCATTTTCTTTGAACGTTGTCTGCTCCCCTTTCTCTGCTGTCATTCTTCGAAGTTTTTCTCCTCTCTTTTGATTTCTCATGCTGATCTCTTCTTCTTGGATTGGTGTTATAACTCCACTTCCACTCTTCTCCACCATCTATCTCCTGTAACTGTTTCTCTTCCTTGTTAAAGGAAATTCTAGTTTGATAGTCAAGTGTTCTTAAATTCTAAATGCTGATTTACAATTTTGGTCTTTAATTTTTAAATAATATAGGACCCATAGTTCCATACAAAAAATGGATGGCATTTGAGATATTGCCCAAATTTGAAACTGATATATTGAGAACCTTGATTTTTTTTTTTGACTTCTGAAATATTTATTTGAACTTTGTATTCTATTGGGTGCAGTGGGTAAAGAGATGTGCTAGCTCCTTTGCGGATGCTCTCGCTAAACAAGGGGTGGGAACCGGGAAGGGATCAAATGTTCTGGGCTGTGTTGTAATTCTGTTTTATTATTTTTTTTGTTTCTCGGGGAGGGTTAAGTGAGTTTATCTCTCCCTTTGCTTCCTTTTTACTTTTCTATTAATTTTGTTAATAAAAGGTTCTGTTATTGATAAAAAAACTTCTATAGGGACTGTTAGGTTGCGCTTAGATGTTTAGGATCACTAAATTTGTGGTTGCTTGTTTGGCCAAGGGGTCTTTTTGGAGGAACCATTGAATGGTGAGGGCCCAATCCTGCATTTGTGCCATATTCATGGAAGATGCTATCAAGATGGCCTTTTTCTGTCTTCCAACTTTCATATATATCCATAGTTGTCAACACATTTGGGCAATGTTGGGAAACAGTGGAGTGCCTAGTCATCTAGGTAGTAGAATTTGACAAGGAAACTGAATTCTAGGTTCCTTGGTTTTATATACCAATCATCATATGTTTAAGTTGAAAGACTAGCAACACTTCACTAATAGCATAAATTTTCCCCTCATAACACAGAGAATCATCATATCTAAAAAGGCCAACATTTTAATTCCATTAATTTCAATATTTCAATTTCTTTCTCCTCAAAACCTCTGTTCTTGTGTGTGTGTGTGTGTTTTGTTGTGATTACAATAGGGTGTCATCTTGTGATTTCTGTTGCCTAGTCACCTAGATGGATGGCTTTTTGATATAAGTCATGGCATTAAGGTCAGATGGGTCACATTGAAGGTGCTTTGTTGCCTAAGTGATACCTCGACAACTATGTGCATATCTTCATGTGATATTCAGATTAGGCCATTCTGAATTGTTTGCATTTGAAGGTGAATGATGATCGCATAATTCTGGACAAAACAGTGGCTGATCAAGTATCTATGTGGAGAAGCAGTAAAGGCATGACAGATGAAGTGGTTGTTGACCATGCTTGTTCTGGGGAAACATGTTCTTACTATCAAATTGGAGATGTTTTCATTTGTGAGAAAACTGGTCGTGTTCATGGTAGGAACTACTCTTATGAGATCATCACACTAGTTGGTCCTTTGTTCATGAAATTTGGGCCTTACATGTCTCATTTTATTGATTGCTCCTGCAGTGTGTGATGATACATGCAGAGAAGTTGTTTTGGATACCTCCAGTGGCTTCTGGTTTGTACAATATCTGGGCACTGTTTTGATAGAATGCTCTCTCCTTCAGAAATGGAACCAGATGCTGTGAGTAATGTGTATCCTGGCCTACATATGTTTCATACTGTTTCTTTACTTGTTTGCAATTCTGCTACTACCCACTTAACATTTTGTTTGTTGAATTATACGTGAAAATGACCTTTAGGTATTTTTCTTATTTCCTTTCTTTTGACATCCCTTTGCAGTTCCCCTCTCCATTGCCTTTCTTTTTCTTATGTGATAGTTGTTGGTGTGTTGATAATAATGTTCTTAAAGGTGCTCTCCTAGGTGCATACTTCATAGTGGCCGGACTTGTATAGTGGGTGGTATGCACCTTTGTGACAAAACCTAGGGTGAAGGATTGAGAATATTTCTTAAGGTCTTACTGGTTCTTGTGGAAATGTTTCCAATGGGTCCTTTTATAATTTTGAGTTCTTCATTGCTCTGTTTTCAGGATAACCTCTTAGATGGAGTTAGTGGTAGATAAGAAATAGTCGAATGATTATATTCTGTCCATGCTGATTGATGGATTATCATTGAATTGCTAGAGTCTGTAACAAACTGGTATACTTGTTCCCTTTTTTCCTATGTCAAGCAGTAAGCCCTTCCATGTTTAGCCTCTGGTAGAATGTATTATTTAGAGCTCTCCCTCTAGGTGGATTGGAATGCCATTTTAGTGCTTTGTAAATATCCTTTCAATTGGATGCATAGTATTCATCCATTATTGCAAGAGGAAAAGATCTAGTTGAATTTCATAGGGATGAGAATTTTGAAGCAGAAAAAAGCAGTACATGCCTTGCATTGTTTGGTTTAATCTAATGGTCTTTTATTAAAAACTCAGGAACAACAGCAAGGTGGTTTAACAGATGAAGCAGAACCATTTATGGGATCTGGCCGATTTGGTAAGGATTTTTTTTTTTGATAGATAATGATAATGAAAATTTTATTAAATAAAGAACTAAGTATTCATCATACAAGTCCCCACAAAGAGGCACGAGGTGCAGCCTCCAAACTACATCATAAAGCTTACAATTGAGCCCAAAAGAGCTGATTCCTATGTACTCCTTGTTTAGCTAGAAGGTCTGCCAGCCCATTTGCCGATCTTCTTTCCCATTGAACTGTGACTGAAATATTTGAAGTCAGCCACTTAAATCTTCTCAAAGCCCCCCTGTACGGCCAGGCTGCTGTCTTTGGTTCTTTTAGCCATCCAATAACCAATTCGGAATCACCTTCAATCATTAAATGCTCCACTGCCAACTCTCTTGCATATTCTGCTCCTTGTAACACAGCTTGGAGTTCTGCATTAACAGAGTCTCCCCACCCTATAGGACCAGAAAATAGAGCTACAATCTGACCCTCATCATTTCTGAAGACTCCCCCTATTCCTGATGGCCCCGGGTTGCCCAAACTACTGCCATCAAAATTTAGTTTAATGACCCCTGCATTATGAGACTTCCAATCCACCACCGGCTTGCTTCTGATTGCAGAACTTTTAGCTAGTTGTTCCCAATTTCTCCTTATGTCATCGAAAGTGTAGGTGGAAAACAGATCCAAGGATTTTACCCAACTTATGGCCCTACATAAGATACTTTCTAACACACATGTTTGATCCCTTTCCTTGTCATTAAAGATTCTAGCATTTCGTTCCTCCCACACAGTCCACAACAAAGCAGCTCTAACACACCTCCATAAAACTCTTCCTCTTCTCTTTGGCCACTTGAAAGTTGTAGGATCGAAAAGATTGCAAATCTGCACCGGTTCTGTCCACCTGCACCCAAAAAGATCAAAAAGCTTTTCCCAAAGGCCTACAACAAAAGGGCAAGTGATTAGTATATGGTAGCAACGTTCCTCGTTAGCTTTGCATAGGGTGCACCAGTTAGGAGAGATACAAAGACTAGGTCTTCGTTTTTGCAAAACATCCAAAGTGTTGATTTTCCCGAGGGAGACTTCCCAACAAAGGGCTCCAACTTTAGGAGGGATAGGTTTGGACCAAACTTCCTTGCTATGAAAAGGTTGAGGCATTGGAGAGGAGCACAAAGAAGCAAAGGAGGCACAAGAAAAGGAACCCGATGGTAAAGGCTTCCAAATACGGGAGTCTACAGAAGAAGGGTCCAAGCAAACAAAATCAATAGTTTTGAGGAGCAAAGCAGCCTGGTCATGCTCAGAATCTCTCAAACCTCTTCTAAAACCCAGATTCCAGTTTATGCCAGAAGAAAAGGATGAGGATACAAACCTTTGAATTGGCTTGTTTTTAAAACACGAGATGGAATACAAGGAGGGAAAGAGGTCTTTGAGGGCATAATCACCAATCCAAACATCCTCCCAAAACAAAACCCTATCTCCAGTGCTAACATCATACCTGATCAGGTTCAGGAAAACGGGAAGAATACTATGAATAGCCTTCCATGGGGATTTCAGCGTAACACGCCGAGATACACCAACATCCCATTCATTGTTTGCAACACCATGCACACTCCTTACCACTTTATGCCAAAGTTTCTCCCTTTCTAGAGGCCACCTCCATAGCCATTTACCTAGTAATGCTGTATTTTTCTTCCTTAGATTGCCTAATCCCAATCCCCCCTGCTCCTTCCTCCTACACACTATTTCCCACCTAACCACATGATCCTTCCTCCCTTCCCCTGACTCCCACAAGAAATCCCTCACGGCTTTCTCTACCTTCAAAATCACCTTTTGTGGCATTCTAAAGACAGATAGAAGGTAAGTTGGCAAGTTCGCAAGAGTAGATCTAATTAAAGTGATCCGACCCCCAAGCGAAATGTAGTTTCTCTTCCAAACTGCCAGCTTCTTTGTGCATTTTTCTACGATCGAATTCCAAAATCTTCCTTCTCTTGGATTATCTCCTAGAGGCATACCCAAGTACTTCAAGGGCCAGCTAGATGTAAGGCAACCTGAGGACTCTGCTACCTCACTCAATTCCTCCATCTCCAAATTTACCCCCACTACACAACTCTTTTCAAAATTTACCTTCATCTTCGACGCGCATTCAAACAACTTTATTACTCCTTTTAAGTTTCTAGCCTTTGAGGGATCTCCAGACTCACAAAAAATGAATGTGTCATCCGCAAATTGCAAGGATTAAGGCCCTTCATCTTAATTGCTTTTATATGCCCTTTGGAGTGCAAACTTAATGAGGTTTTATGAATCTCCTATTATAAATGAATAAAAACATGCAACTTCAAGTATCCCTTAATAATAATTTTATTCAAGCCAAATCTAAACTGGGAACACATCCGCTGCTGCCGGTCAACCTGTGACACATCATCATATGGATATAATATAATAAATATAATAAATATGTTATATATATAATATGCATAATTACATAATATATACATAATAATATTATTTATACACATATTCAAAATATATAATTATATTCTGTATATTTTTTTTTTCAGTTTTTATTTTTTATACTAATAATTAAGATTTGAGGCCAAAATAAGCATTGTTTGTGAAAAAATATAGTGGCCCAAGGTGCTGAAGGAATGCATGGATTGCATTAAGTTATCCAAAATAGAAAAAGAAAAAAAGATCATACCAATTCGATCACCAAGTGCAAAATTGTGACCTCTGGAAATTCTCATATAAATTGTATTTGTAACCAGTGACCCAGTTACCTGGTCAAGCGGGTCAATGGTTCAACCGCCTGGGTCTAATGGGTTTTGATCGAATTCCAGGTGTAGGATTTATTATGGCCGGAATTGACGCCAGGTGATGGCTTGAACAGTTCTACTGCCTGGCTGAATGGCAGGTTGAAAACATGGATCCATTTACTACTACATGTTAACATTCTAGCATTGTTTAGAAGGTCATGTATTCATAACTTGCTGACAGTCTGGTCTTTGAATGATTTTACCATGCCTCACCAAGATGAAACATCTGGATTTAATGTCTGCATGGATCCACTTGCAGAAACATTTCCAAGAAAGGAAAAAAACTTAGTCTCTCAAATTTTTATGATGAGTGTTTTTTAAATTTTATTTCTCATCTTTTTGTGTTTTTATGTGATAGCACGTGCTTATCTCTTGGGGTATAACTGTGCTGATGAGAAGGAACTGGAAGCGGCATTGAGGTTTTGCTGGTCTGGTATTTGTGCTTTTCTTCCATGTTCAGCGAATTTTGATGAAAAAGATAGAATCTTCAAGCCACACAGTTTTCTAAGAATGAAAGATAGTTGATTTCAGTTCGATATATGATAATTACTGTATGGTGTAGATTGTAAGTATTACTTGATGTAAAAGAAAGCTGGCTTCTTCAAGCCTAAAAGATGTGTGGCAAGTTGTATTTGTAGAATACAAATAGTGTTTGTGATTAAAACAAGGTTTAAAGGAGCAAAGGTCTAGCTAGTATTTAAATATATGGGGCCTGTATCTTTCACAGTGGGACCGTGAATTTGTTACTGGCATGGAACCTCATCATTGGTTCGACAGCCCACTGAACAGCTAAAGCATTCAGCTAATCCGAATTTGGTTTAAAGTATGCTTTTTGGGCTTATTTACATGGCACAGGTGTAATGGTCAAAACTCATGTCTTTCCAGTTTCCACCCTTGTAAGGTTTGGTATTTCTAAGAGCAATAGTGAATGAATCTTTTGGAGTTTGATAATCTTGGCTACTGCTAATTTAGTGCAAACCATTTGAAGGTCACAAATCAAAAGCAGCCTTTCTTTACTCAAATCTTTGCTTAAAATTTAGAAAAGCCAAGAGTTACATTACATGCACAGTCTACATGTTTGCTTCCTTGATTTTTCATTACAGAAGCATGCATTAAATATGTGATACAGAGGGAGAGAGATGATATTCCCTTTAATTCTCACTGACCTCTTCCCATACCCAATAAAACACTTGAATGACGCTGATTATGGCTAACCATATGACCTTAAAGTTGGATTGTTGTTGTTGTTGCTACTATTAATCTATTATTGTGATGTAAAATCCATCATCCATCCCACGTCTGAATGATTTTGCTTCAGTTGAGACAGATGACCAACATTAATCTCCAAACCAACGCTGACATTCACTACAACCGTCATATGACGGAAGAGTCCACACTTGACGATTCCTTCTAAAATTTCATTGTGACTTCTATGCAATCTTATTTGTTTATCGATCAATCGGTTGATCAAGAAATCTGCTGTAAAAAAAAAGACTTCCAAATTACATTTGTAAATGAGGGTGCATCTGCTTCTCTTAATCGTATCCATTAATCATGGCCTCCTGAAATTGCTTTGGTGAAAATAAAAGGGGTGGAAGAAGAATGCTCGCACAAGTCCACTCTATTGTGTTTATCTCGTATGGTTGAAAAGCCTTTAAAGAAAAATATGACATTATATTCTTACCCAAGATGAAATAAGGAAGAATTCCTCAAGAAAGGTAATTTGGGCGTCTTCTTTTGCTTTATCTTCTAATATTGGGGAAATGTGGATTGAGATTCAACTTTTCTATTATTGCATTTTCTCTCAATCTCATACCTTGTTTGACTTTCGCCTCTTGCCTCATTTGTAGTTCATTTAGCCATTTAGGTGGTGTTCGGGAGTTCCGTTCTCCTCCTCACAAGTCACAGCCTGGTGGTTGGTGCTTCACAATGTCCTCGCAAAACGTTAGTGCTTAGTGCTGTGCTTACCCAAAACACGAGTGGAGGCCAGCAGGTTACGACGTTAGCCCTTGAAGCCAAATTTGATGTTTTTCATTTTTCTTTTCTATCCCCAGTTGCAATCCTCTGCCCCCAGCGACCAACGATCTCACCGGCAAATAGCATCTTTTGTAGAGTTCTGCCGGTTAAAAAGTAGTTTGGCTTTCCCTTTCTCCATGTCTTTCCAACCCTTCTCCAAGTCAACAGTCTTTGAAGCCATCCTCTGGTTAAAATACATAAGAAATAAAAAAGGAAAATAAATAATGAACTTGCAATTGAATCCTCCTACTAGAATCATCTTCAATGAAGACAACCCAATTAACCGACAAGGATGATTATATAACAAAACTATCTGTTTATTTTTATTACAAATAGCCAGAAGATGGAAACCGTAAAAAGAAAATTTTGAGATAAAAAGCAAATGGGCAATGCAGATGGAAAGTTATCTCAAACTAGATTGGAGGACATTTCAGTTTCTGCCAACCAGCACTCAGAGATAAGTGTGTAAAGTACGAAAAATACTGCAGGTTATCAACTGTTATCGTTAGTTTGTTCAAATATAATGACGAACTGAAGGAGGAAGGTTGCAACCGGTGGAGGGAGGGGGCTACGGTTTCGTTGCTGGAGAGAAAAGAGTCAAGGGGTAGTGGGTTTGGGCAGGAACGGAGAAGAAAAATGAAAAGCACTGAATTTGGTATCGAGGGCTAACAGAATGGAGAGCTAACGTCGTAACCTGACCTCCACTTGTGCTTTTCATCTATGTTTTCTAACAGCTTGGCTTTACAATCTGAATTTGAGTGCGATTCTGAGAAGAAAATGACAACTGAGATAAGAAAGTGGTTTACAATGGCAAGACTTGATCCCTATTGTGTTGTTAGCAGAGAACTGATTCCATATTTAGGGTGTTCTAATAAAACCTCCTTATTTGCATGTCTGTTAAATGCATGTTGGTGTTTGAAAATGATGAGGGGTAATTTGGTCATTTGAATGACATCAAAACACGTGGCTTTCAAGTGATATCTTAACACTAAGTAGGTGGATCACTTCGGCAAGTCGGCTGTTAGCAGTTCGCCTAGGCCGACCTAGATTACCTCGGCCCGGTCGACCTTAAAAAGTTCCGGGCAAGAAGTGACCTACCTCGGAGAATGACCAAGCTATGGTAAGTACTATTGGCGACCTATAAGGCATGCTCGCTGACTCGTCACATAGATCCGTTGTCAGTCCGAGTTCTCCAAAGTATTAATGAGTCGACCATTGGGTCGGCTTACCCGCATTACACGCATAAGAGCGAATCAGACGGACCTTAGCCTTCTATTCAGATTGCATAACCGACGTCGTTATTCTCCTGACTTAGCAAAAATGACTCTGCGAGAACCTGAGACCCATTACAAGAAGGTCTCTGAGTACTCACACCTATATAAAGCCTACATGAAGGCCTCATTTCCACCATAAGAGGTATGCGCGATTAAACTCTCGCATAGTCTAATCACTTAAAGCATTCTAAGAAACTCTCACTAACTTAAGGATTAGAGTGCCCATCCCAGGTAAAACAATCTGAACATTCTAACTCTCTCCTTTTGCAAAATTATACAATTACATCAGTTCCCATAACTGTAACCAAAGTTCCATAAAGTTTCAGCAAAATATAAAGTGTTCTTAGTGGTTGTAACTAGGACTATGTTTCTTAAAATCTACATGATTAAGGTTGTTTCCCATCTTCAAATATATTTATTTTAATTTCATTATATTTGGGGAATGAACAATATGAATATTATAAACAAAGTGTTCAGCTATGATATTACCTGAGGTATTTTTCTTCTTTATCTTTTGGTTTCCTTCCATGTCTCACTGAAGTGCTCCTATTTTTCTGCTTATAATTTGAATTTGCTGAAACACAACGCTCATAATTCCCAGAAATATTGAACTGTACCTTCAAATTGAATTCAGAATCAGTCATCTCGAAACCCTATGACATTATCTTGAATTAATAAAATGAAGATGAAGTCTCCCATTTCAGTAATTTCTATTTATACATGAAATAGCATTCGTTGAAGCATGTGAACTGTTACATATTCCAAGTTTCTAACCGAACAAATATCACTGAACATGTGAATACAGAATCATAACTTTATTGCCCAGCATAGGATATGTTTGTGAACGGAGCAAAAACAGGTAATGGACATGATCTTTTAGAAACTAGGGTTGTTAAGCATATGCAGATATGCTTACTCGAATGGATTTGAGTTCTGTTGAATCCAAAACTTCTCCATTAAGTTCGGATTTGAATTCTGCAACTTGGGTTGCATTGGGCTGGGCTGACAATCAGGTTAGGGTTGATCCCTTGCTATTGATCATATTTATTATAGTCTCATCACCTACTATTAATCTATATTTGTCTTTTTCTCTTAAGCCCTAACCCTAATGACAAGTTAGCATGGGTGTTTCTTATTTATAATTCATAATAACAATTTGATTTTCAGTAGGAGATCTATTATAATTCATAATAAACTCTAATAATTTGAGGCATTATTTTTTTTTTCTTTTTTCTTTTATATTAAAATAACAATAACAACGTCGAAAAAGCAAATACTGATGGTTGGATTGGGTTAGGATATTGAGGGACTTTAGATTAATGGGTTAGTGTTGACTAGATCAGGTTGGGGATCAGAACTTGCGGATAGGCTAGGATTGACCTGTACCTGACCTAACCTGGTCCGACTTATACCCTTAATTGAGGGACTTTAGATTAATGATATCATGACTCGATAAGCCAGGATAGTAAAACATGAACCCGATTTGGGTTGAAGCATCAAAACCCTAATCTAACCATATACCCAAATAAACATGACCCGTTAACAAAATAGTTTTCATTGCTGTAGCTCCACAAACCATTGGAGAGGGTGATTAGGTGGCTGAAAGAAGTGCTAACTCAATGGCTGATGGGTTAGTTAAGCAGGGGGTGGTTAAGGAATCTCTGTTTTGGGCTAATTTTTAGCTTCTTTCTTTGTCCTTTTATTGTTGGAGAGTTGAAATAGTTTACCTCCCCCTTTCCGTAATTAAAGTTTCACAAATCTTATTCACTAATAAAGCTTAATGTTATCAATAAAAAAAAAAAACTATTTTAGGACTTAAAGCATATAGCAATGGATGTCTCTAAGTCCTAAAGTAGTTTCTTTCTTTTTCCAATATCATCTGAAGTATTTTGTTAATGGGTCTTAAGCATTTCTGCACCATAAATCCGCTTGGTTGGATAGTTGTGCCACCCTATAACAGTGGATATTGATTTGGCATGATTTGGCCCGACTTGATAAACAGAGGACATGTGGATGCGACCTACCAGCCAGATGATGATCCAGCACTTCCAACCACCTTGGCAGATCGATTACTTCGGGTGTCTCAGTCATCTCGGATTGCACCAAGGGCAGGGTACCTCGGATGCCCATATCTGCCGAGGTGACACGTAGCAGATTCTAGAAGATCACCAGTTATCTTCGAGCCTTCCGGGATCATGCCGCGCAACTGTAGGTCTTATTCTTATCCCACTCGATTCAGGTGGACACGATGAGACTTATCAGCCACCACGTTGTCCACCTTTTGGAGCGGAACGGACTCCTACTGCTTGGTCCAAGGATCTCGGAGAGGTTTCGTGAGGCTCATGGCAGCCCAACTATATAAGGGCATCAGCCCCTTTGACCCAGGTACGCACGATTAAGTGCATTATAGCTGT